CACCTTCCCCAGATGTGCTTTGCTCGCTTGCTGACAGTGCAGCTGACGTGTTCCTGATGCTGCCATCCACACTACTTCCAAACTTGGCTGTACTTTTCAGAAGGAAACCCAAGTCACAGTTGCTGGACACAGCGACTGTTGTGACAACACACCCTTACGTAACCCGCAAGAAGCAGGAGCTCAGGCAGAGGAAACATGGTCAGCTGCAAACACAGAGCACTTAAAGATTTAGATCTCTGTGGTTGCTCGTACCTTCAAATATTTCTGGAATCAACACCCCCCGCCAATGAAGCATTGCTTTTGCTTTCTCAGCTCTATCTCCTAAGCTGTATTTCCATACTCTCCACCAGAGCCCGCAAGCCTGGACACCTCCTGCCTGCACTAAAGCTCTCTTCAGTCTGCAGCACACACCATATTATCCTGGCAGTAGCCTTACAGAGAGTGTTAGTACTGACAGCAGTGATAGTGTTGTCCACTGCCATGGCAGAGGAGTCAAACATAAACATCCTATCTTATTACAGGCAGAAAGAAACACACTTTGTAAGGAAAGTTCATTGTCGGTATGCTCGAAATCTTAACTGTGTGATCAAAGAATGATTAGTCTCTATTATTAAAGAAAAAAGGAAGAAAGGATAGTACAACTCTTTCAATAGACAAGCAGTTAGAATATTCATGAGCTGTTTCTCTTTCTGGAATCTCCATTATCCAGAAGCGCCCCTTCTCCAAACATCCCATGTCAGTAGTCCTCTATACCACACTGCATGCCAGTTTTCAGGGCCCTTGCATGTATGCCTCTGCAACTTGGCACTAAAATCAGAAGTATGCTGCTCTACGCAGTAAACTTGCTTTAGTTTTAGTAGTTATATAAATATGTCTACACCAAGCAACTACAGAATGAGAAACAAGGTAAACCAAGTAAGACAGTAGCCACCTGGACATGAGAAAAGTTTTAAAAGCCAAACAAGCCAGAACAAAGCTGCATGCAGGTTAAGAAGTTCAGACAAAGCAAATCTGTCAGGCTCCGGGACCCTGCAGAGCTGGAATGGAGCTTCTGCCATGCTACCAGCCACGGGAATCCCCTGTTCATTGAACCATCAGCAGAGACCGGCAGCTGGGGATGTGGGGGAGTCCCCAAGTTTTTTAAGAACAATCATTAAGGACAGATATTTATCCATATGTACGCTTAGTGTCCAGTCCTGGTAAACCTGAGAAATTGATTAAATTAACCCAGCTTTTCTTTCTGTATTTTCAAACCACCCCTGCTCACCTACTTCAGCCTGACTGGACTTTGGTTTTGCAAATATTATCCTTGTTATCTGCAGTCCGATAAAAAACTGAGGACCAGATACTTGTATAGGATTCAGAGTGTAACTGCAGGACTTGGCATATGCCTTTCAGAAAGCATTACACTCTGTTTTGTGCTAAAACACAACTACTACACAACTACTATGGAGAAGCTCTGGCAAAATCAGCTCTCTCACAGCTACTGCTCAGTCTACACAAAACTTACAACATATACTTACAACATCAGTGAAGAACACCTGCAACGCATGGAGGAAGAGGAATGACATACAGAGCCGCACGTTGCAAATAGTTATGCTTATTGAAGTACTCTTATGGGACAATTTAAGGTAAAACATATGGGCATTATATAATACAAATGTGAAATACAAAAACTCATTAAAATTACACATGGTTTAGCTTAAGAATGATGCACTCAGAATTTGGGTATTGCCACTAAATCACACTGAATTTTTGGCCTCTGTTCAGCGTACAAGTCCTAACCATACCCAAGTCTTCAGGCAATGTGTGTCAATACAACTGTTTAATAATAAATGCAACAAATTTAACTTGGTGTTTTGTAAAGTAAAATGTTGAGGAAAAATAACAGCAAAAGAAGCACTGACCAATGCCACTGTGATTACACAGCAAGGAGGTGAACCCTTACAAAGGTACATGAGGAAAGTATAAAACACTGTCAAGTTTAGCAGTTGGGAATCGTTGCTCTTTATTACCCTTACCATGTCCTCTCTGAATTATTTTTCAACAAACATGTGACAATCTTTCTCTTAAAAGCTTATTTTCAACTACATTTCAATATCCTCCATCCATTCATTTTACCAACCATCTCTTCTTTACAGCTGTTAATTTCTCTTGAAAAGCACAAGCATCCCACTTAAGTTACTCAGTAAAGTTAAACTCTGATAACAGAAGAGCCAACAAGCTTCCAGTTCACAAAGCTGCAGTTGAAGAACATAAACTACCTCTTTATTGTAGGTTTACCTCTTTATGGTAGGTTTTGCTCTTGAGTAGACACTCCAAATTAACCGTTAACCGTTTTCACTATGGGTACAACATTTAAAATTTGGGTTGTTTATGTACATAGCGATATAACCTGATTACAAGGCATTCCCTTGAAAAAAAAACCCTAAATTAAGTCCCTTGGGGTACAGAAGCACACTGTATCAACTCTGTCTCATTATACACAAGCCTGATTTCCAATTAAGGAGGAACAAATTAGATTAAGCACATTAGGCTAGAAGCACATTAGGTTAGTTTTCTCCCAAGCATGGAATTCAGCAATAATATTGCAGTATAAATATTTATCATAGGTTTAAGTCACATTTCAGAGAACAAGGTTTCTGGACCAAAAATATTTCATAAAGCATTGTAAGGTAACAGATCTGCCTCCAGGTAGCTTTAAATGAATTTTGTTGCAATGCAGCTTTCATTAAAATTTAACAAGGAACTAATTTTTCAAATGCTTGTTTCCAGTAGGTAACAAAAATATTTTACTCAAAAGGATGCTTCCTTTTTTTGCTTAACACTCATTTGACTGTGGATTAGTTTGTAATGTCTGTGACAACACCTTGGTTACCCTCTAGTTAAAACATCTACCCAAACTTTGGGATAACACCAGCTATTTATTACCATAGAAGATATCAGGCTTCAAGAGGTGAACCCTTTTCTACACTGAGTGAATGCCAGAGGTTTTGAAAAGTATCTTCTTTTTCCAAGAAACCAGAAAAAACATCCAAGCAACAGTACCTTCAGCAACTTTAGAAACAGACACTGTATCTAGAATTACTCCACTTCTATATGGTTTGTGACAGCTCAAAATTCTTGGACTGAACTGTTTCTGTGAATGAGACAGCCCCTCATCTCAGTAAGCACACTCAGATTTCTGCAAAGCTCACATATCCTGACTGGGCTGCAGCATTAGAAAGCAATAGGCAAAGAAAGGAACAAAAGGTGGGGAAAAACCCCTTGGAGATACAGTTTTTCTCCCATGTAGACTCACATGTAGAAAATGTCCACTTACATTTTATTTTACCAAACATCTTGCAAACTAACAGGGAAGTTCTCACTCATAACAAAAGGAATCAAAAACCAACCCCAAATGCAACCAGCATGTAATAAGAATTTTATTGAATACATTTAGAAAAAACTAGAGCATGAAGACATGAGATTAATTGCTGTAAGTTTTATGAATGTGCAGAATCAAACAGCCATGCGAAAAGCCATCTCCTCTTCAACTGTAATTCAAGACTCTTATAATGCCAAAATTATTATCACCCTAAAACAGTGTTCCAGACACATAACTTACTTTAAAAAGGATCTCCTTCCTGAACAAAAGTAAAAAATTTAGTAGCAACTGGGAAAGACCAATCATTAACAGGTACAGTATTTAATCAATACTCATGCCATGTTTAAAGAATGCAAGCCAAAAATGTATCATTATGTAGAATAGGTATTTTTTTTCCCCAAGGCAAAATTCCTAGTAAAACTAATTCCTAAACTACTGAAATGGTGACTTGATAATGTACACAATCCAGAATACCATCCAATGGAAGATTTTTTGTCAAATTGTGTCAGTGCCATGTATGACCTATGAGTCAGAGTAGGTGATCAGCCCTGTGCTTAGCAGCGTATTAACATTTCACATAAATTCCAATTCCTCCAAGAAATGTTGTTACAGATACAAGATCAGAGAATTGTTAAGATTGGAAAAACCTCTAAGATCACCACCCACCAAGGTGGCACCACCACCATGTTCACCATTAAACCATGTACTTAAGTGCCATACCCATGTTTTTTTTAACACCTCCAGGCATTGTGACTGCACTGCTTCCCTGAGCAGCTTGTTCTAATGCCTGACAACCCTTTCCATGAAAATCCTTTTTCCTAACATCCAATCCAAACCTCCCTGACACTTGAGGCCACTTCCTCTCATGCTATCACTTGTTACCTGGGATGTAATGTTAGGTATGAAATACATTATGTTAGATAGGAAAATGGGCTTAGACATGAGGGAAAAGATTAAGATTTCTGTCATAAACTTGCACACCCATGCAATCATGAAGGTGAACTTTCATATGCACCTGGACAGTCAGTTCTGACTCATGTAACATGCTTGTTCACATATGTAACATGTAAACCCATAGTGAAACACATTACAGCTCTTAAAACACTTATTTATAAAAATATAGTTAGACTGTATCAACTTAATCAATTTGATAAATACAGCACAACATCTGAAAGCATGAAAAAAAGGATAAATTCAATGCCAAGTATTCCTGCTCATACTAGTTTGCAATTTAGTGTTGTATTATTAGACAGGGGAAAGCCTGTGATCCAAAATCACTTTGCTTACTTGTCAAGTCTTGCTTTTGGGAAAGTATCAATCGTGACTGGTTTAGTACACTACAGCTGGCCTCACTTTCTCTCCACACTTACCAATAAAAGTTACCAAGCCAATACAAAAAGTTACCAGGCCAAGCCAATATTCCATCAAAGTGTCTGCTACCATTATGCATGTCAAGATGTCACTGCATGAAACATGAGGATCAACCCTTGGTGTGTTGAAGCCTGTTGTGAGCAACTGCTGAAAACACATGAATTCAGTGAGTGATGCAGCTCTTGCAGCTTCAGGATAGATGCAGACATATGGTTATAAAAAACTGCTAAGAATTGCTGCAGTTAGTTTATGGCAGTCCAGGCCATCTGAAGGTTTATCTTTTTATTTTGAAAAGCATCCCAGGCCATAGAAACTATGCTGTTACTGTAAAATCTATACTTTCTTGCCTAACCAAACCTGGTAGAGTTTTTATGGGTTCCTTAATTTGTTTGCTTGCTTTTTTAAACAAGTAAGTTTTAAAAGTGGTTGTATTGCCACTGATGGGGAGAGTCATTACAGAACACCTGAAGTATTGTTAGTTTTGTGCTGAAAGTATGAACAACAGGAAAAGAGCAGGAGGAATGCATAAAAAGCAAAAGCAAATTTGAGGACTGTGTTTACAGGAGCTTTCTCCCATTTATGGCCAAGGTGACTAAGCTACCAGCAGAATATAGTTTGAAAGAGTATAACAGTAGTTACAGGACCCCAGAGACTGCAGCATTCACAGCAGATGGTCCAATCCACATTTCTCTCCATTTAGGGTTTAGTGCACTAAGGCAGAAGACAACTTACTTAAAAACAGAAATTCTGTTTTCCCAAGGAATTCCATTTTTCATGCAGTTCTTTAAAATGGATTTTACATTATGTAAGCCTACTGCACATGAGGATGCAAATTAAGTGAAAATATGTTTTCCACATTTTTTAAACATATTTAGGATATTTATATATCCATATGGATAGACAAATTTGAACTTGCTTGTTAAACAAGAACTTTATCCTGGCGTTTAAGCACTGCTAATTTTGCTGTCCAAGTTCAGAGTTCTGCACACACAAACACAGACTGCATGCTAGTAGCTACAGCTATGTAGAATTTTTTATCCTCTGATGTTCTCAGTGTCATACTAATAAGTACTCCACTTGTTGGTTCAGAACACATCAAGGAACATCTGTTCAATTTTCAGAGGACCACTTGGCAGGCACACGTTTTATAAGCTTGTACCCTATCACTTTGTAGTACCTGACATTTTCAAATTTAAAAAAAAAAAAGAGGAAAAAAAAGGTATTAATAGAGGTTAACAGAATCTATACAGCAGAACTTAGAGCTGAAGTTTTGTAGAAGAGTCCAAGGGAGTATGAAACCATGCTTGAACTAAGTAGTCAACAACAAAGGATCTTGAAGTGAAGGTAGAGAAGCACCAAAACAATTTTATATATGCGTGTGTAAATATATATATTTATCACCAGTGTTACTTTCTTTGTCTTCAGGGATGGTTTCTTTGGTAATGTATTTCCTACTACTTTAAGCATGAAGTAGGACTTCAAGTACTGTTAGAAGTCTGAGCTCAAGTCAATTCATACTACTGGAAAACAGCAAGATTCTTAGAAATCTGTTATTTCACTTCAGAATGCCTTTACTACACCCTGTGTTTCTCCTGACACTATTCCAGGTCTGCCAAGGCTGGCAGATGAGCATCCATGCATTTTAACAGTCCACAAGACCTGTTGTTTACAGATATATGATTAGGCACAATAAATAATGGTGTGCACTTTTTATTACTTTTATAGGAAATCTTTTTTATTTCAGCTGCAAGCCAAAATTAAGAAACTATTCCAAGCAGAAATAGAAAGCAACCTTACCGTGTGTGTGGCTGCTTGGATAAAAAAAAAATTAAAAAAATCTAATTTTTAAGCTATCCTGTTTTCAGCCATGTACCTTTACTGATGACCTGAAAAAAAACTAAGGTATTGATTTCTAATTATAGTCTGCTCAAAAGATACAGTATTCTTTTAAAGTATTTTGATTCAAATGTACAATTACAATTTGAGACAGACATTTTAAAGCATGTTGTTTCTCCCAAGATTTGTCCTGTATATAACTACAGTTCTTAGATGACCATCCTTGACCATCCTCAGAGTCAAGAGATACACGCATCTATACGGAAATTGTTTTACCAAGACACCTACAGGGTGTGCTGGCTTCTCCTACACATCACATATCAACCTACTTTGAGAAGAGTCTTGAGATTTTCAATGTTGTAGAATACAACAGACTATATGTTCTAAAGGCTGCCAAAGATATACAGCACTTTGGTAATTTTACAATAGTTTGTTGTTTGCATACTCTTCACAGTTGAAATGCTAAGTTATATAACCATTTCCACTGTCCATTTGCTTTTATATTTAAATAGCAAATGTAAAAGAGTAAAACAAAAAATCCCTTCTTGCCACCTTTTTTTAAATTTTAACCTGATCTGCTTTGACACATGAAAGACAGCAGGAGTCAGCAAGTACAGAAATCCTTGGAATAATACCAATTATTTCATCCTTCCACAGCCAACAGTATTGAAACAAACCTTCATTTCAGAACACGAAAGTCTACAACTTCATATTTCTGTTTATGTAACCTTTTACTTTAGAGGTGGAATTGCATGCTAATCAGTTCAAACTCAGATTTTTTTTTTATCTGCATTACTGTATGCTTCTTAACAGTGGTGAATTTAACACAGGCAACTTAATGCATCCAGACTAAACAGAACAGCTGAAAAATAGAGAAACCCACTGTGAACAGAGAGCACATCTACTGGGATAGCCAGTGCATGGTAAGGAAGGTTGCAAGCAAAGGGCAATAGCTGTTTACTCTAAATTCCCACAGAGACATTGCATCTAGCATAAACATACCCATGGGAACAAGAGCAGAAATAACTGTTACCCATTCAAGTTTACACCCCCATTTACTGTGCGTCAAATTTCTTTCTAAAAGGGAACAGATGATCTAGCATTAAAAAAAAGAGATCTATATAAAAGTTAAATATTTGATTACAGTATCAAGTCACCACTTCATCATGGGAAATAACTTGTCTCTTGGAATCATTATTGATCCGAACCCTCCTGTTTTGGTTGTGTGTTGGATACTGGTAACTCCAGGCTTGCCCATAGCAGGGGCTCTGCTTTTCTCATGGTGAGCTCAATCTTTGTAGCAGTCATGTTCACGTAACTCCTCTTTACATCAATCACCTGGAACAGAAAAGGTGTTTCACACTTCAGTTTAACAGACTGATAGACGTTGGGGAATTAATTAGGGAGTACCTCATCATTAAATTTCAGTAGACGTTTATTTAGGTAGATGAAGATCCCTCTGGTATCTTGAAAAATCAGCTGTTTCCCATTCCCGAACTATGGAATGTTTAAGGCACAAACATATTCCTATGCAACTCTAAAATATATTGGCTACCATACATAAACAAGGGTTTTCTGCAACACTGCTACCACAGTGTTGGGATCAAAAAGGACCTTGGAAGCCCACCTTCTATACAAAGCAGTGCCCATTATGATGTCACACTGGATCTCCTGGGTCATTATATTCAGATTTAAATGTAATTACTCAACGTCACGTAATGGAAATTCTTTCAAAAAGCAGAGTAATCAGGAAAACTTTGAAATTCCATTTTGAAAGAGAGGAAGCTAAAGGCTTATGTCTTGACTTCCTTCTGCGATTTTTTTGATTTTTTTGTTTGTTTCTTTATAATATAAAACATTTTTTTATACTTACTCCCCATAACTTCACACTGCGATGAAACTCCTTTTCTCCTTCAAATACAATATGGATATTTACCTTAATAGGAAAAACAATAGAAAGTAAGGAAATTTTATCATGTTAATGAAACATCTGTCACCTCAAGCATGTTTAAACAGAATATACCATGTTAGGACTTGGATCCTACAATGATCAAAGTGATAAAATTGTCCCTCAGAAATAGAAGCGAGTATTTATTTTAATAGATTCTGATGCAGTTGCAGTCAACCTCTGACCACTGTTAGTTTATTGTTTAAATAAAGTAATCAGAGAAGCATTTTGACACCTGTTTAATATTAGTAGCTGAGGAACAGCATGTAATGAAGAATGGTATCAAATTAAGTCAAATACAAGTAAATGATAAATCTATAATTATTTATGCATATAGTAATGCAAACCCATCACGCTTGGGTTTTAATTATGGAAGTAAAATGAAAGATTTTTTTTTTTTTATCATACTGTATTGCAGCTTTTAAAAAACCCAGACATTAAAGTGCAGATGTCCAAACAGAAGGGAGGGAGAAAAAACCTATACATACTTGAAAAAGCACAAATGCCAAGAAAAAGCAGCTAATCAAGAGTCTTATGCTATCTCTGCCTTGTAAATAAACCTGAGCAGATATTCCTTAATTCAAGTTGCTAATCCTAAGGTAGAGGCTCACCATTGTGCTATTAGCTTCTACATAGCTCAGATCAGGGACGGAGTTTTTAGCGTATACAGAAATAGTCACTTCTCCTCCAGTCTGGTGCCAATCGTGCCTGCATGGAACTACTTTTGTACCCTGCATAAGGAAAAAAGGTACACAAAAAAAAAGACTTAGAATTATATTGAATTTTTTTTACAGCATTAACAGCATAAATTCTCAGGACTTTTTTTAATAGCCGATTAGCATAGCTAATAAAGGACTATATTTCATCTTCACAGGAGATTGCAAGACTCCACTTGCAATTCTTTTTATTAAGTATTTCAGTATCTCCCTCTCAAACAAACTACAGCAAAAAAAATGTTGATCTTGGTGGATCAACTTCCTTTCCAAGATTACAGCTAGCCAGCAGGTTATAAAAATGAACTGAACTAAGAGAAAGAATGGCATAACTCCTGGAATGCTTCATATTCCTGCAAAAAAAAGTATTACCCTCTGTTCTCTGATGCAGAAAAAGTAAACAGTGAAAAAACCCTCAAAATAAAAACAAAAAGTTAAAGTAAAAAGCCCCCTTGTTGGATAGAAGCCAATTATCTGAATACACATACAGTTAATATACACATGGTTTCTTTAAATGTGGGTAAATTCCTTACTCTCTTTTCGTCCACTCTCCTGCTTTAGGCTCACAACTTCAGCTTTTTTTAATCCCTACTTTCTTCACTTGCAAAAAATCCTTGAACAAAAATACAAATCTTCAAAGCAAGCAATTACATGACACAAAGGTAGTAAAGGATTTGTGAAATAATTGCTCTAGAATGAGGTAACAAAACTACAGTTTTTATAATATAACTCTATTTTCTTCTGTTAAACATTCCTGATGTTTGCAGTGTCAAACACATTTTTCCTCAGCAACAGATGATATACTCATAACAAGAACTTTGCATTCACCTGTATCCACTGTGTGACCAAATAATGTTTTTCAAGAGATTTGGTCCATTATTATATTCTATAATGCTCTTAAAGAAACAAGTATACCTGTACACAGACTACTTCACGCTCCATTTCTTAGTCTTCCTGCTGTGCACAGTATCCTCCACATTATGTCAGAGATAGTGATCTGTAATAGCTCAGCTACAGTAATAACACAATCCAGCTATCACCTACATTTCAGTATTCAAAATTCACAATGGCCAGTTACAGAGTGTAATCTTAATGCTACTTACTGCATCCTTTTTAGTCCATACATGTGCGCCTCTTGTGCAGCCTTCTTGAGCTAAAAATGTATTGAAGTCAGAAGTTTTTCTTTTACAACAGCTCCAATACTTCATCCTTGAAAGTTTGCAAAGTAATTAACAAACAATATTTAGGACACTATTTACTGTGAACATTTAAGGTCTTTCCTTTATGCAATATTTCTGTTACTTTAGTATACCCCCTTCAAGCACTGCCGTTTTTGCCTGAAGAGGGAATAATACTGAATAAATCAAGACAACAGCTACAAAGAAAGCACGAACACACAACAGACTAGTTAAAAAAACCTGAAGCTAACTGAATACTAACCCTTCACAGAACACAGGTACAAAAATGGAAGTTAGCTGAATACTAACCCTTCATGGAATATAGGTACACCAGAATGGTATATACATACTTCTTCTGTGCTGTGTGGTCCTTCGTATGTCTGGTGGGACAAAGCATTTAAAGTGTATTACTGTTACAGGAATTGGAACGAAGAAAAAATTCAAACAAAACATAACAAAAACCAGAAAGAATGTCCAAGGTATGACAAAGCTTTTGGGTAAATAATCTATATCTAATGGCTTGTTCTAGCTTTTCAGAGTAACCATTCAACCTTCCTTCACAAAAGGTTCTCTGGCACTGCTAAGAAGCTGTACTTTGTGTTAGTTCAATGGCACACATCAATGACGACACCATCAATGCTCATAAAGCATAGATCCTCAGAGATTTCTGTCTTTAAAATACTCTGAGCATTCAGAGAAAACAAGAACTTAACTTGAAAATAAATTAAATTCACCATTCATAAAACACGTGGATTCTCTAATGAAAGTAAAATAAACAATATACAACTTAGCCACTGAATATCGTATCAGTTCTTCCCAACACAAAGACTGCCAAAGTTCTCCCACCAGAACTTCAGTAGATAATGCAAAATCTGCCAGGTAAAACAGCTATTTAAATCATACTGTCCCATTTTGCACAACACAAGCGTGTCAGTGTAACTTTCACTTTAAATGACTATGTAATATAATGACTAATTTTGGTGCTAGAAGTCTTAAAACACTGACTTTAATTCTTCTTGCAGGAAGCATTAACTGTTAAGATCTGTAGATGCTTCTGATCTATACACAGATCATCAAGAACAACTCAAGTGTTATCAGTAAGCCACCGCTCACCAATATTACATTTAAGCTGTAATAACAATATTACAGTTAAGCTGAAACACATCAGTACCATGGGTTTGACAAGCTTACTAATTAGTAGTTCATGACAGGTTTAAAAAAAAAAAACTTTGACTTTCTGCAAACAATTCACATTTGTCCATACAAAAGTGTGTTATCAAATGTGCATTTGTTAAACCAAATGGACTTTGTGCCTTTTCCAAATTAACTCATAGCACACAAAAACACAAATCTGCTCACTTAATAGCTGAGCGGCCGGATTTAGAGTACAACTGAATCACTTACTTTTGAACAGCCTGCATTTTTACATGCCGTCCCAATCTTGATTTCATCACTATCTTCCTCTGTAAACAGAATATTATTGAAAATAGGAAATTAATTGTATAATCCACTCAACACTTTGCTTTTATTAAGAACTAAAATGAGCCAAGGAAGAGGTTAGAAAAACCTCCCTCTTCGAGATTCTATTTTCTGTCTGACATTGAAATCTGCCAGAGAGGTACAAAGAAACATTCCAAAAGCTGTATTACCTATGCATCAAATTCTAGGCTCTATATCTTTACACATTTTAAGTGAGGTAAATAAGAAAAGATGAAGAGGATCATTACAATCACAGGGGAAGGGAACAATCATTCATTTTGTTCAGTTTTGTAAAACTAAGAACGTAGAAGGCTTCAACTGCTGTCTATAAATACACACAAGGAAATAATTTGGATACCATGGAAAAAGAAGAGCTAAATTAGTTTGGCACAAGAACAAAAGAGCATAAAATAACCACAAGCGTAGGTTGAAATTACGAAGTTTCTTAAGGAGCAGTGTAGTTCTGGAACCAAATTACAAATAAAACGTGGGAAGAAGAAAGAGCAAAAACAGACAAGGGAGAACCAACTAGTCTTCAGAGGAATTTCACCAATTTATGAAGGCTTTATATGATACCATCTCTGCAACAATAAGGAGTAAAGTTCATTTCTTGGTAACTCTGTCAGTCACACATTCAGAAATGGATGTTCCCATTATGTCCATTCTAACCACGAAACCTTAGAAAAGACCCAGTTCAAATAATGCTAAGAACAATGTACTGCTCCTGACAACCAGGTCTCCATGTTACCCACATCTGAACTTCAGCCATCATTCCCGGGACTGGAAGGTATGTCCCAGATTATTAAGAAAAAGAACTTAATTAGAGGAAACTATCACTTCAGGAACGACAAGATCAGCATAGCATTTATTTGTGTGACACTTAGTGTCACCTACTTAATCTCCCTGTCTCCTTACCTCTTCTTCCTTCATTTTCTGATGACAGTTTCAGTTTATCGAGAGCTTGTTTCAAGGAAGCTGACACTTTCAGCTGCAAATTTGTCATTGGCTCATCTGGGCTAAAAAAGTCCAACTATTAGTGTCAACTTACTTCATGAGAAAGAATTTATAGAAGACAAATAATCTTAATTTTTAATCTTTAATATTCCTACAAGACTCTTCCTTTCAAGCCTCTCTTCAATAAACAAACTATATTTGTAAATGCCAAACCTTACTGTTTATGAAAAAACAGACAAGAAACTTAGAAGGCAGTCTTGGATTTCAATGGGAAATCCTAAATACTCTACAAAAATAAAAATAAATCAGATACTAAGGAATCTAAATACAAGCACCCCAAAAATATTTTTATTACTGTTTAAAATACTTAACACAGCTTGTAGTGGCATTTTAAGCTATGAGGTTATAGACTTCAATTTCTGCTTCTTGTGGATTTAAGTGCTGAAAGATCAAGTACTTCTTTCTCATAACTGGAATTATTTTCTCTTATTTTGAAGCTTAAGGTAACATCATCATCGCTACCAAAACCAAGGTCTTCTAAGGTTAATTTTGGAATTTCTACACTATATGAAATGTACACTGAATAACTGAGCAAGCTTTAACTTGGCCAACTGACTACAAATTTGGAAAACCTTAAGTTTCATATACCATACCTTGGCCTCTTAATTGTTTCCAATGGTTTTGGTGCCTGAATTATGTGTTCTTGAAATTTAGGTTTCAGTTCAGCAAGCTCCTTTCGTTCAGAGGTAGTTTTGACTTCTGGTTTAACAGGCTCAGGAGGTTTCTCGCTGTTATGGAGACCTTTTGTACAGCCCTAGTGTGGAAAGCATATGTTTTTATTTATATATAAATGCAGTGTGGTTCATGTGCATTAAGAATTAACAAAAACTGCAACAAGTTTTCTTGACTCATTTCTTCAGCTCCATCTTCTCCTTTAGCCCACTCTAAACACTGGCTGCAAAGGAAACCCTACCACTGAGGTGGAAAATATTCTCATTTTTTATTCTCAAAATAATCTAATTTTGGATATAAGTTAAAAAAAAAGTGCACACTTTCTGTAGTCAAGCAAATCAGCAATTAATGTTGACCATCCCTCTTTATTAGCAAGTAGTTCTATCAAAACCTCTTTTGATAATTTTAACAATTAAAGCTTGAAAATGAGCATTGACTTCAGCATTATATGAAGAAAAATGGAGCATATAAGAATTAAGACAGTTTTAACAAGTAGGCTAACTTAAAACATGTAAGCACATGCACCATTTAATATTAATCACTGTCACTTGACAAGTATGAAAACTGTAAATAATCAGGAGTACATACCACAATGCTTAAGAAGTCAGAGAAGTCCGTTGTTCTCCTCTTACAACATGACCAACCCTGTGAACATTTTGGAAAAGAAACAACACAGGCATGACTACCAAACTTGACAACAGCTTAAAAAAAAACAAAACATTTATTTAATTCCTCTAAAAGATGCGGCACATCAAAATTAGCAATTGTTTTCTTCCCTTCTGTGGATAATATTATCATCTTCATTTTCAGAAGCCAGAGAAGTCTTCTAGTTTGTTGATGCTGCCTTAATCAAAAAGTACAGTAAATGTGAGGCAATACTTCACTGACAAGTTAGGTGCCAACTCTGTAGAACAGAAAATAGAAGTGTTACTTTGTCTCATCAAGTAACATGTAAGCAAAACAACAAATACTACACCTGAGACCAGGCTGACCTGTGGCCCAATGTACAGGCCCTCTTTCAAAAATGATTTTTTTTTCCTTTTCTTGAACACCACTCAAATCTTTTAATTGCTTATTTCCCACCAACAGAGCTGGATATGTGCATTGCACAGCTATCCAACTACATTAATCAAGAGCACTTTTTATTATATAAACCAGAAATTCAATTTTACAGCAAACTGCCTTGCCACTGTGAATAATATATCTTAGAACTCAAAGAACCGTATTAGAGGCAACAGTTTGACTAATGCACCACCGCTTTGAAAGCTTAAGTGGTGCAACACAATGGGTTTTAGGTAGGTGGTTCTAAAATACCCTCAAAATATTAACCATTTCCACAGCTGAGGAGACAAAAGGTTCATCCTGCACACCTAGATTATCAAGAACTCATAGGAGGAAGAAAACGGCTCATTAGCAATTATGATAAATTTTTAATTAGGTCAAGAGGCAGGATAAAGAGATAGGGGAAAGTGGTGCTTGTTTATAAACAGTGAATATGTAAGATTATATAAGTAAATGTAAGTTTTTGAGCTAACTGTATAATTTCTCTCTTTATAATTATGTAGAATATTTTTGTACTGTACTGAGTACAGGTATAATTTTGTAGATAAAAAATTACCACAGTCTAAGCAACTGTACAGTATTTGATCTAAGATTATTTGTGGCACGCAATGACCGATTCCGAAGTCAGATGCTGCAATATAAGCAACAGCTCACAGTAAACACACTGCCCAGCACAAATACAGAAGCTTTCACAAGGCCAAAAGACACCACATTGTTGGGATGAGATGCACTTCCAGTAGCATCTAAGTAACAAGAAAAAAAAATCCCCACTCACTCCCCTCAAAGCTCAGCTAAACAGCAGTTTAGTGCTCTAAGAAAAGTCACTTAGGCTACATTGATATTAATAAAGTGCCAGGCTTCATTTTTGGACACCAGTTTTCTGACTACACACAATTAAATTATTAGAATAATTTCCTGTACTGTTTCAGCAGTTGTGTCGCAAATGATACCCTGTAAGCACTTTGTATGCATCCAGTAGATCCTGAAGAGGGAAAACAGTTTAGCACAAAACCAAGGATGGGCTGTGCAGTTGGCTTAAGCACTGGAGACGTGCCATAGGTATATATGACTAATCATTGAAGATGCAGCCCAAGAATGCTGGACAGCTGCATAAGAGGCATGGGTGACCAGTCAAAATTTAACCAACATCCTCATTTGGTTGATTAAATGAACATGACTGTTTTTTACAACAGACAAATGTCACATAAACATTAGTGCCCTGGCCACATTAGACCACAAGCAGCTGCTCTGAATTCCAAGCACGTTAATTAACTGAAAGAGTATGAAACCTCTCAATGGTTCCACAGTCCTATTTAGAGGACCTAATTAAACTGGTGAGAGACCTAAAGTCAGTCAATCAACAGGAAACAAGTCATCTAGACTTGCATGGCATTTAGACCATATGAGTAGAGTTTTTAATTTCTTTTTCAGGAATGAATAACTGTGCTTTTCTAATTTCATGGGGTTGATCATGATGGACTGAATATCAGTTTCTCAATACTGAAAGATCTGGAATGAAAAAGATGAAAAAACAAAAAGATACTCCTTAGAAGGACAGTTGCATACTTACTTTGAGAGCATCATGAAAAACAGGCACACCTGGATGGTATGTGCATGAACCTAGAAGACAATGATTATTATTAATATTAAGGCATACCAAGGATCTTTATTCATATGATTACATACCCAGCAAAAATGTCACATTTGCAATTCATGTACACTGTAAGGCTGCCCCACTTCCCCGAATGCACATCATTACTCGGAAAAATCCAGATTCCACAGAAAAACCTCTCTGAGTACATATATTAAACATAAATAATCAGGTCTTCTTTCTCCTTAAGTATTATACAACATAAACTAGAAAGCAGGTTCTAAGACAAACTACTACTTCCACATGCAGCAAGTGGACCATCCCTGACCTTCATCAGCAATCAGGCCTTACTGATAATTTTGCAGAAGAAGGTGACCCAACGGCTACCTGACAGACAGAAAATATTGCTTTACCACTTCAAATACATCTATTTGAACCTGATCAGAGTGTTCTATTGACAAATATTCTGCTAAAAGTCTCTGAATACAAATCATGAGTTCATGATTTTAACTGTAATTACCTTGTTCTTTTTTCAATGTTTTAGTATCCTAAGCCACCTAAGGACTTGAACTCAAAGGTTAGTCTTCCACATGCACAATTTTGACATGTCAATACTATTCATTATTAATAGATTCTGTACAAACACTACACTGGAACACAACCTCCATTAATGAAAGTGTTTGTATTCAGAGATGTTTATCAACATTACACAGCTGTTCTCTTTTACTTGTATTCCTTTCACATGTAATAAAACTGCTCTGATTATATAACTTCTCAGTGACATTTACTGCATGGATAGTATTTTACTGACTTGACTCTAAACACCATCTTCTAGCCTTTAAAACAAAATTAGAAACACAATTAAAAGTGACACAAACAGTAATAATGCACATAATAGGAAGCTAAAGGAAAAATGATAAATAACTTCATTAGCAATCTGCCCACAGATATTAAATAAGCAAAAACCCAACACACACTTGATTGTTTTTATCTTTTTTATAAATATGTGGATTTTAAAAAAAATCTTGTTTTGTATAATTTTCTTTGATTTTATATTCAGTGCCTAAGTCTAAAGCAGTAATACTGTCCAAATATGCATATTTTGGGACATTAGTCCTTCAACAAGATTTACAAATATATCCATAAACCTCTACCAATTCCTTCAGTTTCAGGAGGAAAAGCTAATGCTGGTAAACATCATAGGAAAATTAAATAGGAAAAAAGTGGCTATTTTGCATAGACCAGGACTTCACTGTTTAATAAAAATAAGAATAGAGGTTATTCTTTTCCAAAAGTATGAAACTATGTCATTAGAAGCATCATGAGAGTAAAAATAAACTGTTTTGTAGCAAGGACTGTATCTGAGAAGACTTAAATGACTATTTCCAATTCTTCACTAGAGTGATGCTGTTCATAACAACAACCATTTCAGAGACCAGAACCATCTCATAATCAAGTAACTCAGGGGTGGCTCAAGGCAGACACAGCAAGTGCCTGGCCCTCCGTCTGGCCAAGGGCAATCCTTTTTCTTCACTCCCCAAAGCCTGCTCTGCAGCAGGTACATCGTGGAGCAAATGACAGCTCACTTGTCTGCTGCCTCCTGAGGGCCCTGCATGCTCCACAGGAGGAGATGCCAGGACAAGGAGCTCTGCAGTGCCTCAGCAGAGGCAGCAGGATCTGTCCACTGAGCAACCTGACCATTATCCCTGCTAGAGGACAGTAAAAACACCAGCTCATCTGCACTCATACTGAGTCCAACAGCTCTTATCTGACACGAGGGTTCCCTTCTCACACTAGGCACCAAAAACTGGGAAATTAGGATACAAGCAGACAAAAGCATAGTCTAGTTCTGATTTGTATGAGATCAGACTGCTGCAGCCTTTGGCTGCTATTCTACATTTTCACTGAATAAAAAAAACCAAAACAATTTACCTCTCCACTGCTGTTAATACCTTTCCTTTATCAGGAAGACCGAAATCTTTCAAAATCATTTTTTCTAACCCTCAGATAATTTTGGAGACACTAGTACCAAAATTCTTAAAGGTTTTTGTTTTCGTTCGTTTGGAGCTTTTTTTGATGTCAATTTCATAGCCAATCTGATCCTACTGTGAACACACTGCTATCACCTTACTGCTACATCTTTAAAGCACTTTATTAGTAATTTCATTAAATATCAAAGTGGAAATTTGCAGGGGTCACCCAAACGCAAAACCTCGTTCTCTGTAGCAATCTGTGAATAATTACATCTACCTTCAGAACTGCTTCGTTTAGGATACAGTGATTCCACTACATGTTCCAGCCAATTACTGAAACAAATTTTGTGGCATGACATTGTTTTCCCCAACCTGAGCACCACAGAGTTAGCATATGGCCATGCCAACCTGACCTAGTTTAGTACAGCTTGATCACAAACCGTAAAGAAGTGTTACTTTTAAACGAGTACAGATCACCAAGTCCTAATAGGGTTTTTTCCTTTCTTTTCAACAATATATAACCTCATCTGCTTTGCCTTTCGGGGCAAAGGGGTGTAGGGGATGGTGGTGGAAGAAATCACTAAATGTAAGGATTCCACAACTGTGCTTGCTTCTGCTGTTAACATTAGCAAGTCCTACTCAATATGCTCCTCTCTCTATGCAAAAACACATAGCTCAGAAAAATAAACACTCTTTATCGCCACGACTCTAAGCCACGGAAAATGCACAGGCTAGAACATGTTAGCCTACTTCAAACCCTGGGGGTCACTAAAAATTTAATTAACGCAAAGAGGGCGTTCTAGAAATTCAACCCACTGAGTTACTTTATGAGGCAGGTGAAGGAGAGCCTTCTGAAAACTCAGATCACCCTTCTGCAGCCTCTGCAGAATTATGAAACCCCAAATGACAGAGCTTTAATTTCACCAGGAGTCCTAGCACGCACAGGAGAAGCGCTGCAAGCGCTCAAGGCACTTGGGAGAAGCAACACACGTGAGCCATTCAGGCACATTTAATTACCTGCTGCAAGTCCACACAGTTGAACTTGAAAAATTAACAAAACCAAACCAAGCAAGAAAGCAAAAAGCCGCTGGTAACTGCGATGAATGCAACCCCCACAGAGGCCCTCAGCAGAGGAGCCTATGCTGGCCCTGAGGACCTTTGGCACAGCTGACGGCGCTGCGCAGCGCCGGGCCAGCCCCGGCCCCACACGCGTGTCCCCGGGGCAGCCGCAGCGCCGCGGGCCGGGCGGGCCGGGCTCTCCCCGCAGAGCCCCGGAGGCCGCCCCGCTCCCCGCGCTCTCAGCGAGGGAGACACCGCGCCTCGGCCCCCGCACCACTCTCACCCTCCGTGTTGCTCTCGGGGTCGAAGCGCTGCCCGCAGCCCCGGTTGTAGCAGAGCAGCGACATGGCCGCGGCACCTCCTGCCCTGCCGCCCCGGAGAGCCGAACTCGGCGGAGCACGGCGGAAGGAAGAGGGAAGGAAGGAAGGAAGCCGGGCAGCAGCACCGGGGGCGGGGCAGGTCCCGCGGCGGAAAGAGCCGGCCGGAGCCTTCCGGAATCTTCACGAAGCTTCGGGGGACGGCGAGAGCTGGCGGGCGGCGGCGCAGGCGCCGCTGCGGGGCCGCGGGACCGCCGAGCGACTGGGCCGGGTAGCGGTGCCGCGGCTGTGGGGTTCGGCCCCGGGAGAATTCTGGCGTGCTTTCTTTGTAATTTTTCCTTTTATTTTTATGTTTTTTAATTATTATTTTTTTCTTTTTTTTTCTTTTTTTTTCTTTTATTTTTCTTTCCATGTGAATTTGATTTAAAATAAATGCTTGTGTGTATGTATTAAATGGCTGTCTTATCTGCGCTGAAGCGCAGATGCCAGCATCAGAAATCTACTGCGAAAAACACTAATTTATGTTCTCTTAGTTCCCTGAAAGTTTACCTGGATGCTTCTCACAGCTGACCAACTTCTATATACTCTATGATGTGTGTTATACAGGTTGGATTTAAAATCAGACTAGTTTGCAGTGGAAGGGACCTTCAAGATCATCTAGTTGCAGCCCCACCGTGATAGGCAGGGACACTTCACCAGACCACGGCACTCCCAAGTCCCATCCAACCTACCCTTGAACACCTCCAGGGATGGGGCATCCACTGTCCCAGTGCTTCATGACCCTCACAATAAGGAATATTTTCCTAATACTGAGTCTTAAAACTTCCTTTCGGTTTGAAGCTATTCTTTCTCTTGTCACTACATGCTGTTCTAAATACATAGCTACAGACGTCTACATTTCTGCGTGCAATTACAAACTGATTCCTTATAGTTAAACATATTTTGCACAGTTTTTAAAATAGAATTGCCTAGGTACAGCATATGACAAATCCTGAAGCACGCAGAATGAACAAAAAAAGTGCTTTTTCAAAGGAAGTTTCAGGATGCAAAAAGGATAATCAGGAGACTGCTTCCGATGTAGCCCTGAATGTCTGCAAACTTGTGAGCTGGTGCCTGATGTCTGCTGGCATCTTTTTATGTGTGTCTCACATAAAGATACACATTTGTTTGAGCCATTGAATACCGAGTGCTTCCTTCTGATCTGCAATTCCCATTGAGGCCTCTCGTAGTTTAAAGCAGAAAAAAAATCCCATACTCTTGCTATTTACCAGAAGCGTTTTAACGTATAAATGCAAGCGGTAGTAAGAGTTTTGAAAGAAAGGGGAGATGTAAGAATGCTTCTCTTTCTATATAAAAGCATTTAAGTGTTTCTTTTTGTTAGATGTCTTATAAGTAGAAGATCGTCAGAAATGTTGCATACAGGTGTATGCATGTCATTACCATAAGGTGAAGAACTGTTCTTAAAACCTAAAATTCATTCTCTTTCCCTGTCAGTGAAAGTGCCACATGAAAATAAAATGTGATTTATATACATAAAATAAGTTTTGTGGTATTTCTGTGACCATGGTTGCATTTCAGCCATAGCGTGCAGGCATGCATCCACTTTAGAAGGAGCCAACATTTTATTGGCTTTGTGCAATGCGAAAAAAGTTATGTTTTTGCAGAGGCAGCATCGATTTCTGTTCGAAGAATATTTTTTAAAAGTTCAAGAGGAGTTATTTTAGCAGTGTGGTATTTACTGCAATAAACTGTAGCATTCCTGTGACGTTGGTAATGGAGTTTGGTTCTAACACTCAGAGGAGACTTGTGAAAAGAAAAATATAGTCCATGTGTCCCAAGAAGTATCATGTATATTTCCCCGCCTAATTGCTATCTCATTGATATGGAGACGTGCCTTTATATCTTCCAGACAGAAATCAAAAAATAATGTATTTGCTTCATAATTCAAAATTCTACAGCGTGTCGCAGTATAGAAAATTCATCTGAAAACTCAGTTTGTTGTTAATTTTAACACACAGATCTCTGAAAGTTACTGAGCTGTATCTGTCATCTTTGTAAGTGATGCTAAATAGAATGAGGTTTTCTGTTTCACAGAACACTACAGAAGCAAATAATGGTTTGTAATCAGCTCTTGAAATTGCATGTATTTGGCTGCACAAAACACTACAAATTGACAGTACATAATCCTAATCTCACAGAAGTCTGTGCAGCTTCAAAAAGGCATTTTCAGTGCTTGATAGGAAGGAATGAGAGGCTTTCAACCCAGTTTTAGAAAAACAGAAAGTAACTTGTTCAAATAAGATTTAGATAATCATCTTGTGGGCATGATAGACTTAAATCTAATTTATTCCTGTATATTTTGTGTAAAAATCTTTCATTTGAGATTCGGAGTGATAAGGAATAATGGGCTAATGGATGATCATAGCGTTTTGGTTCCCTAGAACTTAAAATATGGAAAGTACGTAGAAAAATTTTTATGTGCTTTGTCCTTTATTTTCAGTTGCAAAGTCTTCCAGAATTTTGGCTTCCAGAGTGTTAGGCAAGCTTTTATGGTGCCTTTAGCAATTGTATCTTGTACTAGGTGTTATAAGACATCTAATCAGAGAAACAGTGAAAGATTTGTGAGTGTACGCTTTTTATTTTAATTATATCTGCTCTATTTTTCTCATGTCAGAAATGTTATGGTTAAAAAATTTTTTGGGAAGCAGTGTTCGAGAATATATGCTCTGGATTTTATGTATGTATGATAGCAGAGGAACTTATATCCACCCCCCCCCCCCTTTTTTTTTTTTTTTAACTGAGCTAGATTCTGTGCGATGATTTCCCTGAAGAAAGCCGCCCTAAATTTTTACCAGTTAAAAGTCATTCCATCTCATCCATGGTTAATGGGACTTAGGTGTATTTCCAAGCATTGGAAATGGCATAGTTTCCCTGTAGAACTGGAATCTCTATAGAAGCAGGATGTTTCAGTTGACTTCTCAAAATGCAGAATCTTTGCAAATCTGATTTGCTTGCCAGTTTGTTGGGTGAGGAGTCTTTCATCCTGGAGTCTTCAAATCAGGACATTGTTCATGCAGAATTGCTGAACATGGGATTGCAAAAAAGCTCCCAACTAAACCAGTTTTCAATAAACCTGAAGGAGAGTGAGGAAAAGGTTTTCAAGACTCAAGCTTCAGGCTAGAGCTGTTGTGTCACACCAGAATACTTTTGCTTCTAATCAGAGGCAGAGGACATTTTTGGGTCCCTCAACTTCGTTGGAAGAGAGAGGGAGCCCTTGAAATTTAAATGGATTCTGAGGACTCATTTAAAATCAAGGCAGGTAGCTCTGTTTATGATCTGAAAATATCAAAATGTGAAATAATTAAACAAATCCTTTCTTTAGGAAGCTTAGCAGACATTTAAAATACAAGTGTAAATCCTTGTAAATCTAAAAGCCAAAAGCCTGCAGAGTTTGCAAGAAACTGTCCTGTTCAACTGAATATATTCAGATTTGATGGGCAGAACATCTTAAAATGTCACATCTCATGGAGAAGCAGAACAACTGACTTTTTAGGAGAGAACACTTTTCTCTCCCTTCTGTGATTTTTAAATGCCAGGTTTTCCCAGGAGGTAAAGGAGATTAAACAGCATCCGCTTCTAATAATCCACCAGAGTGCTTGCTGCTAAAGCACGACCTGAATTTAAGTAGATGCTTCATTAAGGTTCACCACCTTCTTTGATATCACACTTTAGCACAGGCTTGCTGTGCGATTGTTGGAATTCATTTAAGACAGAATTTTCAAAGGTAATTTTCTAAGTTACCTAGGTGTCTGCAATATCTAGAAAACAATATTTTAGGCAGTTTTTGGATGTCTGCTTTCAGGTGCTGCTAAGGAGACTTGAAATTTTGTTACTGGGTTTAGTAGGATGTGGGATAATATGTTGATGCTTCCCCATTTAGATTTTTCTATGCTTTGGACTTCACTGCAGAAAGTAAAACCTGTTTGATGTAATCTGTACAGCCATTCTCCAGAGTGCTGCTTTGTCATAACTTGTAGTGATGCATGTATTAAAATGACCTTTTTTATCCTTCCTGCAGATGAAAAAAAAAAAAAAAAGCTGAAAAAAAAAAGATTGAAATCTTTGAAATCATTGAAATTCACACAATCTGTGAATAATTAAACATGAATGCTATGTTGAAATTTAAAGAATTAAACTCCCTAGATGACAGAAAATAGTAAGATAATTTGTGTAGCTACATACAGCACACTAATGCTGTGACCTGAAGCAACTCGAACACAGAGTTGATGGATTACAGGAATCCTGGTGGGAGAAGAACTGAAATTAAATGTGCCATCCAGAGGGACTTCAGCAGACTTGAGAGGTGGGCCTGCGTACACCTCATGAAGTTCAGCAAGGCCAAGTGCAACATCCTGCATGTCGATCGGGGCAATCCCAAGCACAAGTCCAGGCTGGCAGAGAATGGAGTAAGACCAGCTATGAAGACTTGGGGGTGTTGGTGGATAAAAAGCTCAACACAACCTCGCAATGCACACTCACAGCCCAGAAAGCCAACCATGTTCTGGGCTGCATCAAAACCAGTGTGGCCAGCAGGGTGAAGGAGGGGATTCTGTCCGTCTGTTCCACTCTGAAGAGATCTCACCTGCTTTGGGACCCCCAGCACAAGAAAGATGTTGGCCTGTTGGAGCAGGTCCAGAGGAGAGCCATGAAGATGCCAGAGGGCTGGAACACCTCTTTCTTGAAGGCAGGCTGTGAGAGCTGGAGTTGTTCAGCCTGGAAAAGAGAAGGCTGCAGGGAAACCTTGGAGCATCCTTTCAGTACACAAGTAAGGCTGCAAGAGAACTGGAGTGGGACTTCCCACACAGACGTGTAGTGATGGCACAAGGGATAATGGCTTTAAACTGAAAGAGGTCAGGTTTAGATTAGGTATTAGGGAGTTCTTTACTGTGAGGGTGGTGAGGCACTGGAACAGGTTGTTCAGGGAATATAAATGTTCAAATCCAGGTTGGATGGGGCTTTGAGCAACTTTGTCTAGTGGGTAGCAGCACTTCCCATGGCAGGGGGTTTGGAACTAGGTGACGTTTAGGGTCCCTCATGCAACTTAATGGTTCTGTG